TTGATCAAAAGACTAGACCCCTCTCTGAAGTTGCAGTGACTGAAGCCCCACACATCCATCAAGCAGAATTCCCCACTGGTCTCTGTTTAACAGCAAAAATCCTTCCAAGAATTCATGCAAGGGACATGGTTGTTTGACAAAAGCAATGTGCCTGTGTGTAAACAGCCACACATGTAATAATGATACACACAAAAAAGCATGCATGAAATAATGTCTAGGAAGGTAAGAAGAAACTATTAGATGCTACTTCTGGGAGATAATGTGTCTGAGATATTAGAGTAAGAAAATTACTTTCACTTACAGATCTTTTTTATGCAGAGAATATTAGATGACTTTAAATTATGCAGAGAAAAGAGACAAATACTGTATGTCCATGTGGTTATGTACCAGCTATTCTAAAGAGAACTAAAACCCAAAATTAATTAGTTGAGAAAATTTGGATAAAACAAAACACACCCTGTGTCCTTGAGTGGGAAGACAAGGAACTATCTAACATCAATTCTCAAGGCTAAGTACAAATGTTATCTATTCCAATTAAAATCTCAAATCCTTTCTTTTGATTCTAGACTTCCTCAAATTTCAAAGTTCATTTTGGAGAGTAAACGTTTAAGAACAGGCAAGAATGTTTTTAAGAAGTAGGCTAGACGTTTGTGATAAGTATGGGAATAGGGATTTCCAATCAGTTATAAAAATTGAGAAGATAATTTTCTGAGCATGTGATGTATACCTTTAATCTCAGTACTGAGAGGTAGAGACAGGTGGATCTATCTCTATGGAGTCTGAGGATAGCCTGATCTATATCATGAGTCCCAGGCCAGCCAGGGCTACAAAATGAGACTCTACCTCAAAAAACAAGAAAATCAAAAAGAAAGTAACTAATGACCAGACACAACATTGGGACAGAATAAAAAAAGCCCAGAAGTAGATAAATGTGTCTAACTGTTCATGTGTACATATATGTTCATACATGTATGTGTTCTGGGAGGGTAGATACTGGTTGCATGTAGACCATCCATCACACATTTCTGGCCTCCACCACATTTCCTCATTGTTGTAACAAAGTCAAAGAAGGAAGGACTTATTTCAGCTCACAGTTTGAGGCTACAATCCATTATGGTGGGAAAAGCATGATGGCAGATGCCAGAGACTGCTGGTTACTTAGCAACCAGAGAGCAGAGAGAGATAAATTCTGATGCTCAGCTCACTCCCTCTTTCTAATGCCACCTGCAACCCCAGCCCATGGAATGGTTCATTTATATGTAGGATTGGACTTCCCTTCTCAACGAATCCAACCTAGAAAACCTCCTCATGGATAAATCCTAACTTTGTCTCAAAGGAGATTTTAAACCTTGTGAAATTGGCAATATAGATCATCACAACTCCTGACTTTGTGCTGGTGAATTACCTCTTGAATCTTACTGAATTCAGTTAGCTGTAGTAAAGTATTCTAAAACATGGAATAATATACATTGGCAACTGTAGAGCAAGCACAAAGCAGCATGGGTATTAGAGCATACTACATATAGATATAGCTGTACATACACACATATAGTATGCTCAGGAAAGTCTGGAAAGATACTGTAAACTGATTGATAAAATTGTAAATGAACTTTTCTTTCAACTATTTTCCTACTATTTCAACAGTAGGAAAAAAGGGTCTATTTTTCATGTTTTTATAGATTTTTATCTCATTGAGTACCCTATGAAGAATGGGGGCAGGGAATCACCACATATAATAGAAAAGGGAAGTAAAGTCGGGGGAGAAAGGCACAGATCATATTAACAGAAGACCATGACTCCAAAAACAGAGCTCTATTACGTACACGGACCTAAGCCTCAGAGGACTGGCTTGTGTGTGTCTGGGTAGGGGGACACTTTGGATGCCCTCTAAGGGAGACAGAGGACGATGCTTCCACAGCATCACCTAGCCAGAGATACTTGTCAAAGAGGGCATCAGTGCGACCCTGTGTGTGCATACGATGCTCTTCTCGTTCACCAGAGGAAGAAGGCAGGAGGAAACTGGATCTAACTTTCCTCTTCTGCCTTCCAGTGCTTGATGTTCTGAAACAGGATCAGTCCGAGATTAACATGAAGGCTTGGGAAGGACAGCACCTCAAGATCAGAGACTGTGTGTGAGTTTCCACTTTTATCTGGGCTTCCAGGCACTGCCACTTCACCCCTTCCCAGTCACTTTGTCTCCCACAGTGCTTTGCATATGAAAATAAAAATCCCAAATAAAATTGCCTGAGGCCCTATAAATGACTGGGTTACACAATGTCCACTGCACAAAGTACTTAGGGACAAAGAGAGTGTCAAGTTATAGAGACAGAATGGCAAGTCCCCATTGTTGATAAAGGTGGAGTCCAGGATATATGGGGTCTTAGTAACCATGGGGATACAGCACCTGCAGAGGATGGTGCTGGGAACACCACAGTGGAGGAAATCTAGCCAATTCTCCTCCTTGAGCCCAAACAACATGGCCACAAGAAAAGGCAGAATAGCCCGTCATAGAAATGCTCAGGGTACTTCCCCCTAACTTCTCAGAATGATCACTGACAGGCCGAGCAGACAGGCAGCTGGGGAGTAGTGTGGCTCAAGAGGGGAATCCAGTGTTGTCATAAAGATGAAGCAATGCCAATGCCCCTGTACCTGGGAGCCATGGTCTTCCAGGAAGTCAAAGTTGACCCAGACTCCATGTCATTGGATGTACTTTCATTTCTGTTCTGGAAAGCCAAGGATATTGTAGGATCACAAGCTGACTTACCATGAGGTGATAATTCTATCCAGCAAATCACTTACTAATCCTCTGTAAGATACACCACACTGCCTGTGTGGTGGTTTAAAAGAAAATGGAGCCAGTAGTAAGTGGCACTATTAGGAGGGGTGGCTTTGTTGGAGAAAGTGTGGCCTTGTTGAAGGACCAGTGTCACTGTGGACACACTTTGAATTCTTTGAAAACTTTGAGTTCTCCTATGCTCAGGCTAGGCCCAGTATGACACACAATTGCTTCTACTGCCTGCAGATCAAGATGTAGGACTCTCAGCTACCTCTCGAGCACCACGTCTCCCTGCATGCTTCCATGTCCTGCCATGGTAATGGACTAAACTTCTGAAACTGTAAGCTACCCCAACTGTAGCAGGAATCTTAAAAGTTCTTATCAATTAAAACAAATCCGAGGCCAGTTATTGGGGTAAATGCTGGAAGATCAGAGAAGCAGAACAAGCCACAGCTACCTCACCTCGCCAGTTCCTCAGCTGGTCTTGTTTCCTGAGACTGGAAGCCTCTGAATCTCAGCTGAACTGCTTCTCGAAAGCCTGAAAGCTTAACCAGCCAAATGCTTCTAGTTTCTGGTCTCCATGCCTTATATATCTTTCTGTTTTTGCCATCACTCCCTGGGATTAAAGGCTCACTTCTTGGGATTAAAGGCGTGTGTCACCGTGCCTGGCTGTTTCCATTGTGGCCTTGAACTCACAGAGATCCAGAGAGATTTCTGCTTACGAAATGCTAGGATTAAAGGTGTGAGTGCCACCATTTTCTAGCCTTTGTATCTAGTGGCTGTTCTGTCTCTGACCCGAGATAAGTTTATTAGGGTGCACAATATTTTGGGGAACACAATACCACCACACCCAACTAAACGTTTTTCTTTATAAAAGTTACTATGGTCATGGTGTCTCCTCACAGCAATAGAAATCCTAAATGAGGAAGCCTGTAATTTTCTTAGGTGCAAAGCTCTTTTGAACCATTGTTTGTGTGCATACAGACAGGCACACACATACCTGTACATACACACACACACACACACACACACACACACACACACACACACACACTGTGCTGGCTATTTTTGTGTCAGCTTGACACAAACTAGAGTTATCTGAGAAAAGGAAACCTCAATTAAGAAATCGTCTCCAGGCCGGGCGGTGGTGGCGCACGCCTTTAATCCCAGCACTCGGGAGGCAGAGGCAGGCGGATCTCTGTGAGTTCAAGGCCAGCCTGGGCTAAAGAGTGAGATCCAGGACAGGCTCCAAAGCTACACAGAGAAACCCTGTCTCGAAAAACCAAAAAAAAAAAAAAAAAAAAAAAAAGAAATCGTCTCCATAAGGTTGAGTTGTAGGCAAGCCTGCAGGGCAATTTCGTAATTAGTGATTGATGTAGGAGGAACCAGTCCATTGTGGGTGGGGCCACCCCTGGGCTGGCCAGGTCCTGGGTCTATAAGAAAGCAGGCTAAGTGAGCCATGAGGAGCAAGCCAGTAAGAAGCATCCCTCCATGGCCTCCGCATCATCTCCTGCTTCCAGGTTCCTGACTGGTTTGAGTTCCAGCTTTGGCTTCCCTCAATGGATTAAGATTCAGGATGTGTAAGCCAAACAGACTCTTTCCTCTCCAAATTTCTTTTAGTCATGGTGTTTCATCATAGCAATAGTAATTCTAACTAAGATGCATATTCATACACATGTATACTCATGCACAGGCACACACATACTCATATACACACAGAGGCACACAATATATACTCATATATACACAGGCACACATACACACACACGCGCGCGCACGCAAGAGAGAGATAGATAGAGAGAGAGATAGAGAGAGAGAGAGAGAGAGAGAGAGAGAGAGAGAGAGAGAGAGAGAGAGGCTGGAGCTAACTGCAATAAGGGTATATCTGTAATCCCACCACTTGGGAGGCAGATGTGGGAACATTTTCAAAAGTTTGAGTCCATCCAGGTCTACATAATGAATTCCAGGCCAGCCATAGCTATATAAGTGAGATACTGACTCAAAAAAGGGGTGGGGGGGGGGATAATTTACAAGAGTAAGTTTTAGTCAGGAGAATCCACAGAAATAAACCACTGTGACTGAAATTCCTTAAGCAACTGAAAAGCTAACGAATTAATACATATTTCTCTGAGACTTGAAGAACACAGTACAATTATCCCTTAAATGTCTTCCCGCCATATCCGAGCCTCCGACCTTTACGGAAAGTTTGCCTTGCACTACTCACCAACTGGCAGCCTTCGAGGGAGCTGACGAGCTGGGCGTTCTGGCAGGAGAGGATGGAGCCGGCTAGGTTGAGCATCACACACACTGCAGAGAGCAGCATAAAGAAGGTGATCTGGAAGCAGACCAAACACAAATTGATTACCCACTCGGCGAGGCTTGGAGGGAAAATGACTTGGCTTTACAAACACTTTGGCTTGATGAAGTAATTACACAAACAATGTTTATATGCTTTGAAGGAAAATGTGATTGTTTCTCAAGACGGCAGCTTCACGGTACCCTAAATAACAAATGTGAGAACACTGGAAAGCCACAGCGAGTTACCAGGAATTTCTTTGGAACTTATGATTTAAATTTTAGGAGCTAAACCTGAAAATACTATGCATTCCAGACGCTCAATAGGAACATGCCAGAACTTATTAAACAAAATTGAGGAAAGGAGTGTATTGATTAGAAGGATGTTAAATTGATTTTGTTTAGTTTTTAGTGTGGAAAATTTTGTACATGTGCAAAAGAGAAAAGTATAAAGAGGCCCTGGGTACTCATCAGCCATCTTAAATAATCAACCAACTCAGGGTCAGCTCTTCTTCACTGCCTCTCCCCTGGGGAATATTCTGCCACAAATGAAATCCATATAATCTCATCCTTAAATGTTTCAGTGTGTATTTCTAAAGAATTGCGAGCCATTTTTGTAAATATTACTGAAGTACTGTAGTCATGCATATTAGAATTAAAGACTTATTAGAATCAAGTTCTAGAATGATCATCTTGCCTCACTTGTCTCTATTTTCCATGCTTTGAGTCAGGTTACACAAGATATAGTGGAGGTTCATATGGTGTAAGAATTAATGAACTCTTCCCTCCTCTCCTCTCCTCTCCTCTCCTCTCCTCTCCTCTCCTCTCCTCTCCTCTCTTCTCTTCTCCTCTCCAGATAGGGTCTCACTGCATATCCCATTCCAGCCTCAAATTCACAATCCTCCTCCCCTGCCTCCCAAATGCTGGGCAAATCCTAAATCTATGGGTTTCCACCTTCGTGGTTTTTCCTCAAAATTTACAGAAAAAAACAATTCATCAGCCCCATAGCGTGGATAATCAGGCTGAGTCCCCCAGTACACCTCTTTGGGATCAAGAGTAATCTAAACTAATATGACCCAAAGCAGGGGGAGTATCAGGAAGCCTTATAAAAACTTTAAAGCAGGTGAAAAGCACTAATTGCTGATGGTTCCAAGTGTGCCCTCTGATCTACTTTGTCCATCATCGTCATTATGCCATTTTAAACCATTCCGAGTGACGGAAGATGGACATTAGTGCACATGACTCCTGGCAAGACAAATGTAAAGAAATTTTGTCTGGTGGCATGGAACTAATTGTCACCCATGGCTACCAGCAACTTTCACATCTACCTCTAAGTGTATTTCAGGATTACTGACAGCCCACATGTCTGCAGTGTTTGAATTTCTACTAGAAATGCCTGGGCAATGTCCTGATTCCCTCTTGAAATAATGAGTTTTATCATCTTCAACCTATGTTTGTTATGATGTTTAAAGCCTGTTTCTGAGCATTCTGTAAGGATAACTAATGGGTGCTTTGATTTGGTTTGATGTGTGTGTGTGTGTGTGTGTGTGTGTGTGTGTGTGTGTGTGTGTGCAGTGCAGTGTATCATTAGGAACCATGGATCTAAACTCAATGAACATGTTTCAATCACCTTCATCACAGTACTCTCAAGTTGACCCCTTGACCCTTAGGGTCTACTTGGGGCCTATGAACTTCAACTTCTTTCTTGCTTCCTGGATCTTTGGGGGCTCCAGGACCACCTTACACACTCCCTGCCTCTGCTCTGGAACAGTGTGGGTACCTTCCAATGGAAACAAGATTTAGATGCCACTAGTTTTTGCTCAAGTTGTTCTCTACTCTTTAGGTGATCATTATTTTCAATCTCCAGTTGCCAGACATGCAACTGACATTTCTGAATCCAATTGGAATCTATGTGGTTTAACCTAACCCATCAGTTCTAGGTCTAAATCCTTCAAACCATGCCAGAATCCTTTGTCTTCAAAACAGCCTCAAAATAGCAATGCCCTTCCAACCACAAAAACACACCATGGAGACAATTTAAGATGGAGATCTCTTTTGCAGCTTTAGAATGCATTCTACCAGGAACAGTCAAAAGTATGGCCTTGTAAACCCACAGGTTCTCTTCTGTGTAGTTGGGCTCCTTTCTCGCTGTTCAGTTATTATTTCTAAGAATGATTTCTGATTACCATAGTATTTGGAAATCAAAACAGATGAGGGAATAGACCCTTCCCTGGGACACTGGGCAGGTGGTGAACACTGTTAAGATAACTTTCAGTGTCAATCATAAGCTAGGTTTATATTGTAAGTGCTCATTCTGATGTTCATTTCCTATAAATAAGAAAAGAATTGCAGAGTGGTCAATTTGACCATACTTAGCAGCTGCTGGACTCCCCCTTGCTCCTCTGGCTTCCCCAAGCAAAAGGGCTGTCAGTCAAACAGCCATCCATCCCACCCTGATGCTCACACTGGCCATTTTGAACACTCCAGGGACATTTTGAAGAAACATGAAGATCACAGCTGCCTTGCTCTGTCTCCTGAAGATGCAGCCCCAGTCATGACTGTTTTAAACGATTGATACCCAACTTTTTTGCTATCATAAGCCTTGGTGAACTCTAGATAGCCTTTTCCCCCCTAGGCCAGAGGAGGGACACTTCTGGTGGCCTAATAGGATTATTGTGATCGGTACAAAAGAGACAATGTTCTGATGGGTGCAAGCGCCAATCCTTATCCATATGAGAAGTTTGCTGTGATTGGTGCACAGATCTTGCCTCTGACTGTCCCATCAGGCTATTTAGCAGATTGGTGAGTAGCTGGGGACGTCTTCTTGTTGCCTCCCCTGCTGTTGCAACATTGGGTCCAGTAAAAGCTTCTCTTGTTGCCTACTTTAAGTGGAGCATGCTGTGTCGGTGACGCGCAGGAAGAAGCAACGAAGAACGCAGCATTAGAACGAGTGGACGGGTGGTGAGGGCGGAGGCAACGGGGCAGCACCGGCAGTCAGAGTGGGCACCAGCACACAGAGCCGCAGGATTAGCCAGTGGCCAGCTGTTTGGCTTCTGGAGAAGGGGCAGAGCTGAGCTGGTTGCACACCACGCTGCAGAAGCGTCAGGCTAGCTACCTACTTCAGAGCTGAAGAAGAGGCAGGGCAGAGCCATGAGCAGGCCACACTGTAGAAGCACTGGAGTACCTGGCCGCCTTGGCAGCTGCAAAAGATGCAGAGCCGCTGGACAGTGGCAGCAGCTAAGAGCAGCCACAGACCTCTCCTGAAAGCGGCAGCTACAACAACAGTCACAGCAACAAGAGGCAGCTGAACAGTCCCAGAAAGCCGCCATGAGGGACAAGAGGGGTGAAAAGAAGAGGGTAGGAAGCTGAGGCTGAAAGTCAGAAGGCTGGAAAGAGAGAAGATAAGATGCAGGCCCTGGTGTTAGGAGAGTCCCAGAGAGCTGTGAAGACTTCCCGCAAGGATGTCAAAACCCCACTCCCCACCCCACACCGGGTTTAGGAGCTATAACATTGGTCTCTATCCAGGGCTGAGGAATCCTAAGGGCTGAGCAATTCTAGTACCTATGGCCTGCCCAGAAGCTGCACCAATGGTTGCTAGCAAAGGCAGAGAAATCCCATCTACCTGGAGCTACCCAAGAGTGCTAACACTTGTAGAGATAAGAGCCCCACTACCTGAGGCCTACACAAGATGTTAACAGTAGAGGGCGCCACCTGCTGCTACTGCTGCGACTGCGGCTGTCCTCAAAAACTTAAGAATTCAAACACTGCCAAAGCCCAGTACCCGAAGGACATATTTCCCATCCCTACATGCTATCTGGGTAGAGCTAGCCAGCTAACCGTTACTGAATATTGATTCAAGGGTCCCAAGTGCCAACAAAAATGTACAAAGCATAGGAAGAAACAGCAAAATACGGATAGTCACAGGAAAAGAAGCCACAGAAAACATCTTGAGACAGCTCAGATGGGGATTTAGTTGAAAAAACTTTCAATGAAAAATCTTCACTATTCTGAAAGTGCTACAGGAAACCCTGGGCATGGAACTAAAGGAAATCAGGGAAATGACAGAGAAGAAGGACTGAATGTCAACACACGGGGAAACAAAAAGGAAAGAGACAGAAACTGCAGGTGGAAAGCGACATGACTGGATGGAGACACAAGGAGTCTGGCTGTGGACTTGAGTTGTTGTAAGAAGCAGGGAGTGCGATGCGGGGAAGCAGGGGCTAGCCTGGGCACAAGGAAGGAAAAAGAAAGGAGTAAAGAGAAGCCAAGAAACCTACAGAAACTACTAACCTCAGGTGTACTCAACTGACGGCTGGTCAAGGGGAAGCAGAGAAAGCCAAGACGAATCTGAAGGACTCATGGCTAAAATCTCCTGGTATTTGATGAAGACACATGTTAGCTTGCTGCAGATGCCTCAGGGACTCAAGGAAGGAGAAACTCAGAGACCAACAACTAAACACACTGTAACCAAGCTAGCAAAGTCCGAAGTTGTGAAGAAAAGCTTGCAAAGAGCAAGATGAAACTTCTTACTAAACAGTAGCTGACTCTTCTTTAGACACTATGTAGGTTACAGGGAGTGGGATGATAGGTTTAAAGTTCTAAACAGAGGAAAGCCTGTCAACCCAGAATACATCCTGCAAATCTAGCCTTTACATTGGAGGCAAAAGGAAGATGCTTCCAAATAAATAAGAGCTGGTGCTCAAAGCAGGAGGGCGTGGTCGACAAGAAATATCATAGGGACCCTTTACCTGAAATGAGAACATACTAGAAACTAGCTAAAGCCATATAAGGAAGTGAAGATCCCTGTTTTTTAAAACTAAACATACTATTTTAAAAGGAGAATTGGGTTTTTAGTCTATTATTTCTCTTTTGGTTTCTTGGTTGAAATAATAGGCAAATGTATTAAACAAGTCAATGGTTACACAATATTGAAAGATGTAATAACAAGGGTGTGACATCAAGAAGAATTAAAGTTAATAGACACTGCTGATACCAAGCTGGAACCAATCCCAACGAACGACCAGAAACTTAGGGTGTTGC